TGTGGGAATGATAATTATAAGTTATTGTGTTAGTGGCTAAATCTAACCGATCATCATTATCAATTGGACAATAATTTTGATTATCGTGTGATTTTATGATGTTGACTTAAAATTATGAAGAGAAAGTTCATCATTTTTTTGTCGATAAGATGCGATCCTACTAAATGTCCAGCATAAAATTTATCGTATATTAAATTCTTTTAAAAAAAAGGAAGGCCCACTTTTTATGAATCACGAAAAAAAGGTAAATTTGTTTACCTTTTTGTGTTATAAGAATAATAATATAATTTAAAAAATTTTTATTTAGACGAATTATACTTATGAAAATCTTACTGGAAAGAAATCTTAACGAACTTATTAATATTTCATAGAAGATGAATTGCTTTATTCAATAATAAAGCAAGATTTATGCCTCCTCAATTAAAAATTGATTATATGCTAAAAACTATATTTCAAGATGCAACAACTTTTATTGGTAATGCATCTTCGATTATTTTGATTATTTTTATTATCCTTAATCTTTTGATGAAAGTAACCATTAATACTGCAACAATAATATATATCCCTTTTGTCAACCACTTAGATACTAAATAAGAATAAAAAAAATTATAGTTATAAATCATTAAAAATAATTAAAAACTTAAATTAAAAAAAAATATTCGAAATTAAACAATAAATAAATTGGCGGAAGGTGGTAATTGTAGATGTCCTAATCCACATAATTGAATTGATATCGCAAAAGTGAAAAAGAATAAATTATCTAAACACTTGCTACAATTTTTTTTGAGATATTTATTAATTAGCCCCCCCCCTTTATCTTTAGCACTAAAATATTATACTTTTACAGTTAGAAAAATATTCCATAATTACTATCATTACGCTTATATTATTTATATTATTGAAAATAGAAACAAATTACTTGAAATTAATATGTATAATAATAAGTTTAAAATAAATTATCGTTATTGTATAGCTAATTTCATATAAACTCCGTGATATCACAAAAAATATTAAAAAACAAGATCGTCTACATCATACTGGTGAGCATGATAATTCTGATGCGACTATAAATATTTCATTAAAAATTAAAAAAAATTTAAAAAATTTGAATTACTGTATAATTTCAAATAATTCATTCATATACTGCATCATATTACTATTGTATTGCTACTATTAGTTGTTGCGCTGTCTGTTTTGTATTTTATATGGAACATAGAATTATACAAGACGGTTATTTTTTTCATTTGTTTGCACAAGATCGAATCAATTTAAATAAATAAATTCGAATTCTTTTCTTTTTTATATCGGGGCGATGATTTTTTAAATTAACCAGAACGGATTGTGTTAACCGGGAATTGAACCGAAACTAGATTAACCAACAAGGATTTTAAATCAAACTCAGGTCCGTCTATAGTTGCCTGGCAAAACTTTCGGGTTTATACGGGTCATTGGCAAAATTATAATATAGTTTTGCCTTTTGACGGGATTTTATTATGGTTTCGAGTTTCGAATGTTTGCCAATAAGATTTTATTAAAGTCATATTAAAAAATCCGTCGAAATTTAGGGTTTCAACTTTGCGATTTGCTAAAATGAGTTTTGACACGCAACTATATGCTATAAAGATAAAGGACCGGTCCAGTCCGTTCCTCAGAATATGGACCGAGGACTAACGAATGGGATCGATTTTGATATTTAGAATCGGATTTAATCGCGATTATCGTATCTCAAGGTTGGACTCTAAGAATCAATTTTCGATTTTCGATTCGATTTATCGAATATGGGAAGTTTGCTAGGAAAATCAGGCTCTGAGAATTTTTTGACAAATTTTTAATTTTTATTACATTTTAGTATTGAATGATATATAATAAGAGGAATCTATGGAAATAAAATTTAACTTTGTGCTAGTCTTTATCGTAAGATTAAGGAGTACGTTAAATTAACTTTATTATTGATTATTTTAGAACAATAACGGCAAGTAATTCATTTCGTTTCCAAATCAAAAAATTACAAATAAAAAAAATTATTTTTTTTTTTTGAAATTCCTCGTGGTCCTGTACCGACACGGTATTGTATGAGTTAATTTCCTTTTTTCCAAACCGGAGTATTTGTTCCTTTGGATCATTATTCGAAGTTGATGACGAGGCCACAGTAAGAATTGTTATAAATAATATTCTTGTCTCAAAGATTTAATTCAGAATTCGAATTAGGCAATTCACCTTGTTATTATCCTTCGTTCAAGTTCATCAAATAATAAATTCACGGAAGTTTCGAGTTTTTGATAAATGAATTTATATTATAAATTCGTTCACATAAAGTATGCAAATGAATAAACAATAACTTTACTTTTTCTAAACCAACCTTGTTCGGTCAGAACGAAATGAATGTTTCAAAGAACCTTTTTAGAGATATTCCCAAGTGTTGATCTATGCCAAACAAAAGTTTATGTCATAGTTACAAATAGTGTTGTGAGACGTCATAAAGCATAATAATGGGAAAAAGAAAGCTTTATTCAAAGACAATCAAAATATATATATATATATATATATTCGGAATAGACGTCCAAACTTATGTCGTGTTTTTAATATACAAACGTGGACTTTTTTATAAATAGAATGTCCTTTCTTTCTGCTTTTCTAAGTTTTAGCTTGGTCGATATAATTAAAGATGATTGATAAAAAAAAAAAAGCTTTAATACTATATTTGCAACGGCTTCACTTACTAGATAAAAGTTTATCAAAGGAGCATAATGGAGATATAAATTACTTGTCAAAGCTCTAAATAAGCTTAAATTGTGTTATACACTAAAGATCAAGTAAGCGATATCGTTCTTGAGGCAATCAAATTGATTTAAATATTTTTGAAGCACCATGCGATAATGCCAATTTGGAGTAGTAAGAAATTGCATTCACACATAGCGAGGGTCCAGTGGCTGACAGAAGTGTCAAACTTTTATGATTTTCACATTTCATTCTCCCTTTAAAAGTTTACTTCGTTATATTTTATGTTAATTCAATGAATATAAATAATATTTCGTCAATTTGACATCAATTGTTATATATATTTTGTTTATTTATTTATTTTAAAAATATGAAAAAGAAATATCAAAATTTCGCATTATAAGCAATAAAAACATTTTGCTGAATAAAAATCATCATTTATAATTGATAAAAGAAAGATAGCAATCATTGGTCAAAGTCTTTGATCAAATTTTAAAGAAAAGCACTCCCTTTCGAAATAAACGTTTAGTTCTGCATCATATGTTCTCATAAACTCCATTCCTAGAACATTTATTTCACTGAAGTGCGATTTTGTTGGTGACATAATAACCGGAATATTTCTATTATGAATTCGTGCAAAAATCTTTTGACTTGGTTCGGTAGAAGACACACCAAATGAATTTAATACATCCTCGCAGATATAGGTTATCGGAGACCCAGTATCTACGAGAAAGTGTACAATCTTGATCTTATTCTTGATTTTTACCGTCGTTGCGCAAAAAAGTCGGTAGTGGTTACCATATAGAATTCCATTAATATCATCATTGAATTCTTGCGAGGAGTCCGAAAGATATTTGATTTCAAGTTTTGCTGATATTTTTTCGTGAAGATCTTTACCGCAAACATCGGTTAAAAGAATATCAAAATTTTTAGGTTCATAAGAATCATCGATAACGATATCAATCATCTTTTTTAAGAGGGAGAGAACGTAAAAAACACATGTAAGAACAAGAAATATCTTGGAGAAATTTTTTTTTTTGAAAAAGTTTGAGTAAACAGGCACAGTCTGAAGAAATATATTTTTGAAAAAGTTATGGGAAACAAGATATGTTGAGGACACAGACGCGTTATATATACAGTTACTTTGTTGTTGTGATCTAAAATGTGTGACAGGTTAAGCCACAAAACTATTTGGTGTGACGTTTAATGTCACATCTATGTATCGAGAATAATTTATCATACATAATACACTTCTTTTTTTTTACGTCATAAACTACAAAAATGGTCTATCATGCGAAACTATTGCGTTTCAATTTTTATTATGATTTCAGGGGGGACAGTATTTTGGTTAGATGTTAGCTTGTTCTTTGTCACCGACGGGCTTAACCTGTCACATATTCCGGACGTGCGTGATCATTGCATGTTCATATGTTAAGCCACAACACTATAGGGGCATTATAATAATGACATCGTATTAAGACGTTTTTAACATGTTATTTACGACCGTGATACGACCGTGATATAAATAATTAATAATAACGGAGGAAGAAAAAAGAAGATTTATGTATAAAGATGATCGAATTTCGGATGTTCAACCTTACCTGTAAATACGAATTGTTTGATCTAAAACCGACAGAATGTCTGCGACATAATCAGCTATTGCCAATTTTGTCCTTATGAGCCTGCAAAAGTAAAACAGACCAAGAAGTTCCTTTTCCAAATCTTGATTTTGGAGATATACATTGTGTCGAGCCGGAAGTTCAGAGTGTTCGTCTGAATTACATAATATATCTCGGATAGTTGAATCATTTTTAATATGATCACGGACGAGTCGGATCGTTTTATGTGAAAGATAATAATATGATGCGAGCCTGCCAAGGAAGACGGTTCCTCAATAATTTCATCATCCATTTTAATACAACCAGAAAGACTTAGCTCTTTCATAATTCAAACAGCTCGGATAGATAATCGTCAATAGTTTTGGATTCGGCATCTTATAATTCATAAAAAGCTGGATTTTATTGACATAATTAAGTGTAAGACAGATATTTCATTTCCTCTTCAGTTAACTTATATTTCATGCTGGATATGTAAGCTGGACTCTACTGGGTAAGGTTCATACAAAATTATTTATAAAAATTTTTTTTTGAATCTTGTACAAATATACAAGCAACCCCACTATTAATTATAAAAAGAAGAGATCTAATAAACTAAAGCTCAAACACAAAATTAATCAAAATGTGAAGTGATAGAATGTTGAAAATTAATAATTCCGCGTAATGTTAATTATCAGCTCTACCTATCATTTGGAGTACATTAGTAATAGGAAAATCTACATGTCCTTTAGACTTGGCATCATAGAATTCGGTTCCTTTTATTACAACCAAATGAGCAGGTAAATTCACACCCCACCAAGGTGCTAGTTGCAACTAATTCTTGAATTTTTTTTGTTGTAGAAATAATAATGCTACTATTATCTGATCACTTTCAGTATATCCAGCATGATACAGCCCAATGCCAAAAGTTTGTGTGATTTTCATACTACTATCCTTAGATTGATTTGTAATTCTTCATTAGTCATTCTCAAAAAATGATAAGGGTTCTCAGTCAAGCAACAATACGCAATCAAATCCTGAGCTATCAAAACATATCTGACTTCATGATAAAACGAACACAATTATAGGCTATATAGGAGAATGTCTCATAATATTAATTAGGTCGGTTTATTCATAGTAGCATATGCGACTTGTAATCTGTACCATATAAATTAAATTAGATATTATAGCAAAAATCTTTAATATTAGCATTTGATAAGGACATTATGCAACAACTAGTGCTCTTTTAATATATAATGAAATAAAATGAATTCAACACGTAGCACTGGGATGGTCAGTTAACAAACTATGTATGTTCCTATTATTGATATTAAGCTATAATAATTGACTTTATATATTTTCCTAACATTTCGATAACTTTAAATTCTTATTATAACTCTCACTATAAATTCTGCGATGGTATTATAAGTGATTGTTTTTTTTATGTCAAAGTAAAATTTTTCTAAATATTGAAACATAAAAGTCATAAAATGAGTCTTATAGTTACTTTTTATCTTTTCTGTAGAAAAAAATTTTTTCTCATCATTATTAAAACACGTTCTGTATTTATTTAATCATTTAATATCACATAAAAACTAAAAGGACCCATTTTATTGAAGTTTTAGATTTCAGATTTTTTAACAAGAAATGCTGCCTATCTCAAAGCAAGCCCATAATTTGAAAAAAGCACGTAAAATACAAGCTCAAAAATTAAAAAAAAGAAAAAATGACAAAAAAAGAATGAAAATTGACCTATAATTGATAATACTTTGGAATTAACTAGGGAGCGGTAACCATTCTAGTCTGAAGCTAATTTCAGATAATACATAATAAATTTTAATTTTTGTGTAATACGCGTGACATGACATCAGCAACGCCTAGTAATAGATTGTTCTCTACTTTGGACAATAACAAGATCAAATGTAATGAAGGAACGACATGCTCTATATACAAAATTGATCAATTATCAGAAACTGAAATAAAATTGGCTCAGCATCTTTTAAACAAAATGCGATATCCAAAAGGTTCTCAAAAAAGGATAAATATTGTCACCATATTGTTATATTCAGTTCTTCCGTTTATGTATTTATAAACAATTTTTAATGTAAGCAGAAGCTTTTATTGATTAAAAATGAAGTAACAATTACAGAATATTTATTTAATATTATCAAATTAATCAGTGTTGCCTTAACGTCAGAACTCTTTTCGCTTGATCAATATTTTAAACTCTATAAATGCCAAGTAATAATTATAACTACGCAAATTACGAAAAATTACATAAAAATTAAATTATAAAATACTAATAAAATTGGAAATTAAAATAAAATAATAAACGGCGTTACAATTGCGAAATTAAAAAGTTGAAACGGCGAAACACGAAGGTGTAAAAAGGGAAGAATGTATTCAAAGAAATATCTTAAGGGTGAGCGTGGGATATTGAGCTGTTTAAGGATTTCGAGCTCGGTATATATATAAAAAAAATAATTAAGCCAGCCTGGCATTTTGAATATTTTGTCATACTGGCACCTTGACAACCTGGCATCTTGACAGCCTGGCGCACTGACAACCTGGCAAATGATCATTTAAAAGACTAACTGTAAATATCGAAAGCAATTTTCATGCGGAATTATAAAGATTTCGGCCGAATTACATTCAATCGTAATAATATTTACAAGATAAAGAGTTACTATTTATTGAAAATTCTCTTTATAAAACAGCTAAATTATTAAAAAGAACCAATGAAAATTTACATCAATTAAAAGAATCTAATGAGGATTTACATAAAAAGTTCAAAAATTAGAACAATTATTAGGAGCATTAACACGTTATTTACAGAACAAAGTACATCACATTTCTGAAATTCGTTCACTAGTTCGAAAATCTACATCTACTTCACCTGACACATTTAAAAGACATATCAAATCATTATTCAAAGAAAATGAGCGACATTATATAACAGATGCTATCTGGTTAGCCACACAAATAACACGGTTGGGCAGGTTTCTATGCGTTCAGCTATTGATTGTATGAAACTTATGTATGAATTCCTAATTGGCGAACCTCCAAAACTTGTTTATCACATAATACATTAGATACGTGGCATAAAGATCTTTCACATAACTATCCGTAGCTATTACCTGAAAATGGCTCTGAATAGCATTAATTAATTTTGCAAAGCAGTACAGTATTTTCATTCATGTGAGTGCTGCAAGAAATAAAATTTTGATCAAGTTTTTTTTTTGCAGATGCATTTATGGAGTTTAAAGTTAAATAAATGTAGATTACCTTTTACATTTATCTTCCCAAGCATTACTTTAAAAATAGCAGAACGATCCTGTACCTCGCTGAGATTTATTTTTCTTAACACTGCGAGAGTAATTACATCAGTTGCTATTGTTACGGTTGCCGCTTTGTCGAATCAACATGCTTAAGTTTTGCGATAACGTTCGGCAACTTTACCTTATATAGTTAACCTTGTGAGTTCCCGTACATAGCTGTCCAACGCTTATTCTTTCTTCAGAGCCATATAAACTGTTGCAAAATTTTCTTCATATGAATTCTCCGATTGCCAAAAAAAAATTAAAGTGAAATGAAAAGGATTGGAAAATTTTTTTTTTTTTGCATCAAAATTAAAATTTAAATGTAAACTACCTCGTTCGTTGTAAAATGCCCTGCAGAGTTATCTTAATAGTATCTTCTTACAGCAAGATATTTATCGAATGTTGTTTCAATCCTCGCTGTTATCATCTTTAAATATTATTAAGGTATTAATTAAATGTTGTTTCAAAATTTATCGAACTTATTACAATAACCTGAAAGAGGAATCTAAAAAAAGAAAGAGCTCAAAATTTCAATAAAAATGAAAACTGTAAAAAATTTCAGGTAATTCTGGGCTGTGTTTAAATTACATTTTACTTTTTCATCAAGAAATTTAACCGTACTCCGCATTATTTCTTTAAAAATTAGTAAAAGTATAATACATTTTTTTGGAAAGCAGCCTTTCTGGCAGTACTGTTTATTAGATAATCCTCTTCTAGTAAGAGTGTCCTCCTGTCTTGCAAGCAAATTGACGTGGATGGTTAAGGCTCTTGTATTTCTTACCGCTGCATCGCAAATTATTTTTTCCGCTAAATATTTTTTTTTTATTTTTAAATAAAACTAAAAATTTATAAAAAACAGAACAAGTATTTTAAAAATATGATTATTAGGCGGATTCTTCGGTGTCGGTAGCGCTGAATCGGGTAAGTATTTGATTTTTTTCTATATAATTAAATCACTGCTGATCGCTAGCATAAAAAGCATAAAGCATAAAGCTTATAACCATAAACTGAAATTTATCTTCAAAGTTAAGCAGCGTGTTCGGCATAGTAATACAAGATAACAATATTCATTAGAATATACTTGTATAAACCATAAGAAGCCAAAACATAAATTACTTGTGCAATTGTGTCACGTCCTAAATTATGCAAGATCCTATGTAAGATGTACCGAAAATGATAAAATTTATTACAACATCTAATAATTCCTTATCGGACAATTTTTCTCCGTTATCATGTTGATCGTTCATAATATATTAAGGATATCCCTAGGGTTTTTTTAATATTCATATGGTTCTTAATTATATCTTAAGCAAAAGTTGACAAACAATCTCACGATTCTCGCATTTTACGACCTTATGTCAATAATTCTGTAAATTTCCAATTATTACTCATTGCGCAAATCCGGATGCCTTTGCAAATTTACCGGTTCTTTTCCAGGCTTTTAAAGTGCAAACCAAATGTAATTCTGGAATTTTAAATTAATAAATGAACATAAAATTTTTTTAAAAAATAAACACACACACATACACTTACTTTCCGAAGGAATCCACTGTAAACTTAAATAAAAAATCGTGCAAATCAACCAGTACCTAGCTAATTTATCCAAGGTATTTAATATGATTTCGATCTTCTATAAATACGACGCAAAATATCTCTCGAAAGTTTATGCTGTTAAATAAATGACTCGATAATTTTCTTAGCATTTCAATCGAATAAACCAAATTGGACCAATAAAATGTTTAAGATATTAAGTGCAATAAAAAAACAAGGCCAGCTTTATTGAAAATTCCATCTTCAAAACATTATAAACAATAAAGGAGTGGTGATTTATCAAAGTACTCGAAATTCGCTGTAAATTTATTTTATAAAGTAAGATAATATGATTGAATCCATATAAGATAAATAATATTTTGCAAATTTACTTTTCAAAACGTCTTCGATGCGTTCGGGATTATTAATTGTGATAACCCTACCCAAGCCTGGTAACGTAAACGTTATAAGGTTAAAAAAGCTATTGGTTAATCAATTGTCTCGAATATTTCTTACTCTTTTTTTTTTCACGCAAATTATACTTACGCATTTGGACCGTATTTTATTAAATTTACAAGTTCCTTAAATGGATATGGCTTTTTTGTGCTAGACTGTAAGAAGATTTAAAGAAAGAAATGATATGGCTCGGCTGGTGATGAATTTGATCGAGTCATTCTAATAAATACGAACAACTTGAGTTAAGTATTTTAATATTTATATACATAATATATTTAATGAAGGTTATTTTGATAATGATGACATGTATAGATATTGAGCACAAATATAAGCTACAGATAGCAATCGTCATCACAGATCTGCTACTCGAGTTGGTAATTTTTTTTATGAATATAAACTGAATTAATAATGTGTTTAATTGATCTTTTATTATAGGATTTAAGAAACGAACATTTATACATGGCTAAAATAAAATCTTTGAGCTTAATGTTTTTGCAGAAGATTTGCATGTACAAGAACTTTTTTATTTTATCCTTCCACATACTTTGACAGTAATCAAGGATTAAGACAATTTCAGACATGAGGATATAGATTTGGGAGGTGAAAAGTAAAAGGAATCGAAAATTTGTAACAATAATA